TGAATTGTGCAAGACTGTTGAATCACAGATCTGTACTTCTGCAACAAATAATGCAACATATGTTAAGAAAAAAGAAAAAGAAGAAGATAGCAGGAGAGGAAGAATGAAGGGGAGTAAGTCAGAGGGGGAGACGAACCATGAGAGACGATGGACTCTGAAAAAACAAACTGAGGGTTCTAGAGGGGAGGAGCGTAGGGGGATGGGTTAGCCTGGTGATGGGTATTAAGGAGGGCACATTCTGCGTGGAGCACTGGGTGTTATGCACAAACAATGAATCATGGAACACTACATCAAAAACTAATGATGTAATATATGGTGGTTAACGTAACAAAAAATTTTTTAAAAAAACTAAGGATGTAATGTATGGTGATTAACATAACAATAAAAAATTTTTAAAAAGAGAGAATATGAGTGTCAGAGAGGGACAGCGAGGGACAAAGGTGGGTGACACAGAGGGAGAGGTAATGGGTTACAGGAAGAGACAGGACCGAAGTGGGGAGAGGGGGGATGGAGGGCAAGACAGGAGGTGACAGGTGGGCATCCTCAAGGGAGAGCACGACACTGAGAGTAGGGGACAGAGTCACCGTGTATGGCAGAAGACGGTGTGTGAAAGAGGAAACGTGTGCGCAGAGAGTGCGTGGGAGCAAGTTTCAAAGTTTCTTCTTTCATCTCTTAGGCAGGAGGGGCAGAGAGCTGAGGACGGAGGAACAGCAAAGGGAGCGAAGAGAGAGAGGGAGGAAGAGCAGCAGAGAAACTGTGAGAGAGGAGCGTGCCAAGGAGGACAATGAGGAGTGAAGAAGGTAAGGCGATGCTTTGTGCGAGAGGACAGGAGAGACTGAGAAAAATTAAGAGAAATAAAAGAGAGATTGTGAGTTGATGGGTCATGAGAGACAGGGAAGCTGTGGGGGCAACGTGGGATCATGAGATCAGCAGAAGACCAGGGCTATGAGGCGCCCGGGGGGCTCAGGCAGGAAAGAGGGAGTGAGAGCAAGGAAGAGGCGAGTGCCCATGTGAGAGGGGGTGTCGGGGAAATCAGTGCACAGGCTTGCTCAGGGAAAGGAGGGGAGGGAGCTGAAGGGCTTAATCCTTACTATCCCCCCTTTCCAAATTGAGGCTCAGAACAATCAAGTGACGCATTTGAGGTTTCCCAGCTAGCAGGTGACAGAGCCATCATTTGAACCCCAAATGGCCCAACTCCAAAGCTAGGACGCTACCACACCACACTGCCTCACTGTTTTCCCCAAATCTTCTTTAAACAAGTCATGTAACACAGTCCAAAGATATGATTTGACTCCTCTGTAAGGAAACCTTCTCGCTTTTAATGGCCTAAAAGCATACTTTTATTGAAAGGGAGGCAGAACTATTTCACTGCCCCAATTTATTTCTTTGTACTACATTAAAATTTAAAACTGCTGTGCATCAAAGTACACCACCAACAGAGTGAAAAGGCAACCTACAAAACGGGAGAAAATATCTGCAAACCATAAATCTGATAAGGAGTTAATAGCCAGAATATATGAAGACAAAACAACCCACAGGACTAAAAAATGGGCAAAGGACTTGAATGGACATTTCTCCAAAGAAGATATACAAATGGCCAATAGGTGCATGAAAAGATGCTCAACGTCACTAATCATTAGAGAAATGCACACACACACAAAAAAACCAATGAGATACCACTTCATTATCATTAGAATGTCTAGTAACAACAACCACAACAAAACCAGAATATAACAAGTGTAGACCCTGGAGGAGAGAACGTAAAATGGTGCAGCTGCCATAAAAGACCCTAGAAAAGTTAAACATAGAATTACCATGTGATCCAGCAATCCCACTTCTCGCTAGATATCCAAAAGAATTGAAAGCAGGATCTCCAAGAGATATTGGCAAACCCATGTTCAAAGCAGCTCTGTTCACAATAGTCAAGAGATGAAAGCAACCCAAGTGTCCATCACGGACAAATGGATAAACAAAATGTGACATGTGCATACAATGGAATATTATTCAGTCCTAAAAAGGAAGGAAATCGTGTCACATAACAGAGTATGGATGAACCCTGATGAAATTATGCTACGTGAAATAAACCAGTCCCCAAAAGACAAATACTGTATGATTCCACTTGTAGGAGGTTCCTAGAGTCAAATTCACGGGGGACAGAAAGTAGAATGATGCTTACCAGGGCCGGGGGAGCGGGGAGTGAGGAGTTAACAGGCAGTTTTAGTTTTGCAAGATGAAGAGTTCTGGAGATGGATGGGGTGATGCTTTAACAACAGCACTAATATATCTAATACCACTGAACTGTACGCTTAAGAATGGTGACGGCGGTAAATTTGACCTTGTGTCTACTTTATCGCAACTTAAAAGTTTAAATCTCATCCGCACATCACCCTATCCCCCACCCTTAGCCATATGGTGAACGCTCACTCGTTCTTCCACACAATGTCTCCTCCTCTTGTGAAGAGGACCCTTGTGGTTGGCCATTTCCTCCTTTATCCCCTTACTATACCTTGCCCATTATGCCTCTTGCAGCACCTATCAAACATTATGGCGATTATTGGTTTACCTATCCCTTTCCACTACCTAGTGATGAGCAATTTGGGGGTGGGGGCAGGGTCAATGTTTTACTCATCTCTGTAACCCCCAGGCCCGGTGTTTGGTAAAGACTCAAGAAAGCCTTGATCAGTGGAAGTTCTGGCTGTTAAGAGAGCTATCTGGCCAAAAAAGGGTGGCATCGGGAGGCTCCCCAGGTTTTCGATTTAGAAATCCGAGCAGATTCCCACGCCCTACTCGGAGAACGCGAGGGCGCCCCTCACCAGGCTCCACCGCAGCAGTCTGGGCCGCTGGGAGGGTCCGAGGGCTTCCCACCCCCACTCCCGGCCCCGGCCTGCGAGCTAGACCCGCCCAGCGGCCCAGACATACCTCTGGTAAAAGGCGGCCTGCTCTGGGCTTAAGGCCGCGGCTTCCGCAGACCCTCGCGACGCCTCCATGACCCCGAGCTTGGGTTCCAGGGAGGTCAGCCGGCCGTTGAATTTCGCGCGCTCCCGCCCTGCGCATGCGCGGTGCGCCTGGAGGGGAGGCAGAGCCAACTGTCGGCCTCCGGGCTGGCCAATCGCAGCGCCGCGCTCCGCGAAAAGCCTGAGCCCGCCCACGAAGGTCGCGCGCCTGCGCGTAAGAGGCGGTCGCAGCCCCTGCCGAGCGGGATGGGCTCGTTTTGTCTTGTCTCTCGCGTTTTCCATCCGGTCCAAACCGTGCTCCTGCACGCTATCCTCGTGAGTGAAGGAAAATGCCTGATATGACCTGTCATTTTAGTGGCCCCCAGAGACCTTCTCCATAGCCTGCTCCCCCAAATATCCTCCATTCCATGCTCTCCATTGCCTGGCGCTGAGCACGCTTTGAATTCAAACCCTGGGAGCCGTGGTCCCCGTGACTTAAACTCACACTGAAGAAAGGTCTTCAAGAGCCAAGCCAAAGCTCTCATTTAAGAAATTAGTAGTGCTGTAACGCATGGTCACCATTTCTTTAGAAGCTCCAACTAGGATGCAATCATTTTCAAACGCAGAGCTCAGAGCTTGGGGCAGGAAACGCGTATAAGTGAGTTTAAGTGGCTTGCTTGGGGGATTCCTAAATAGGAGGTTGTGGGCCAACAAAAATTGTCCTTGTTCTTATACTGATAAAAACACGGACATTGTGATTCTTCAGGGCACTAGTTAACATTCAGTACTTGAAAACTCACCTACTGACCCGGTCATGCCCACCCCAAGTCCAGAGGATTTCAAGCTTTTTGTAAATTTCATAGGTCATTAGTTTTAAAAGGTTCTAATTTTTCTGGTTCACGTGACCTTAAGTCATATTTTCATATGGCATTAAGCCTTCTCTTAAGAGGACTTTTAGTATACTATTGTCCCCATTTTCAGACAGGAAAACTGAGACTCAGGGACATAAAGTGACTTTGCCTAAGGTTCCAGAGCTGGGAAACGGCAGAGTCAGAATTCAATACCAGGTCTATATGGACAAAAATGTATGCTCATTCACTGTGTCCACTGCCTATTGCTGGAAAGAAGAGGACAGCAGTGGGAAGTGAGGTTGATGAGGTAGTTGGAAGCCAGTTTGTGAAAGAGCTTGTTTACCCTGATGAAGTGTTTGAATCACTTCTTTTCCTGGAGGCAAGTTTGGATGGGGGTAGGTGGAGTGTGTAGGTGCGCTGAGTACCCAAAGTATGAGTGTGATAAGAAGAAGGGCTGGTGGGGAGAATTCCATAGAAAGGAAGAAAAGTGATGGGAGCACCGAAATCTTCATCGCCAATCCAGGGAAGGCTATCTCCAGTTGTCCTTTGGCTCAGTGTCCACCATCATCACTTATATATCCTTGGAACGGTTGGGAACTCAAAATGAAGCAGAGCAAAACCCTGATTACTATCTTAGGCAGCTGCCCTTCTGTGGGCTGTGGAGAAAAGCTAGAAGGAACTCCCTCAGGACCCAGGCTCCTGCCTCCCTGCTTCTCAGCTGTCAGTGATCTCCAAAGGCTCTGAATACTAGGAAGAAAGGACCAACCTTCCTGCTTGCCTGCCCTTAGGCTACTGGGTTTTTCTCAGTGCCATTTTCACACAGCCAGAGGACTCCCCCTTCTTTAAACCCACTAAGTCCTCCAGCCCTCTTTCCTTCTCCCTCAGTCCCACAGTCACTTCCTTTGGGCCCTTCTCGGTGTCTTCCAGAGTCCCAGCTCTCACCGCAGGGTGCCAATGACCCAGGAAACTCAACCTCCTGGACTCCTAGTCCTCCCTTGTAAAGGGTCACATACATTCACAGACTTGAAGTAAGCTAGCCGTTGGGGAGGATTTAGAGTGGATAAATGGAGAAAATGGAGGAGAATCGAAATAATAGTTACTACTATGTCCCATTTATATATCAGGCCCTGTTCAAAGCACTAAACTTATATTAATTCTCTTGGCTGTTCCTTATTTCACATCTACCCCAGAGTGGGGGCTCCCATTCCCCCAGCTCTTCTCAAGGGGATGGAGTTTAAAAAACTGTCCCTAATTATGGTTATTTGTTTAAGTGTGATAATGGTATTGTATTTTTTTTTAAAGCCCTTACCCACCAGAGAAGCATAATGGAGTATTTTCAGATAAAATTTTATGACATCTGGGGTTTATATTAAAATACTCCAGGAGGGAAAAAAATGAGAGGAGGAAAGATGAACATAGAGTGGCAAAATGTTGATAATTGTTGAAGCTTGTTACAGAGGTTCATTATCCTCTTCTCTCTACTCTGCCTGTTTGAAATTTTCCATAATAAAATTAAAAAAAAAAAAACTTTGCTATCTAATCTGCAAATAACACTGAGTCACCCGCACTCAAAGACCGGAAATAAGATAATGAGGCCTTGTGGGAGAGTTCAGAATGGGTAAATGGAGAGATGGATGGGGCAGAATCAGAACAATAGCTATTACTAATATAGCACTTCAGTGCCAAGCCTTGTTCTACGCAGTTTACATATATTAAGTCTCTTCAGCCTTGCAACAACCTTGTTCGGTAGTGTATGCTATTATTATCTGCTCTTTATAGATAAGGAAACTGAGGCACAGTAAGAATAACTCATACAAGTGTACACAGCTTGTGGGTGGTAAAGTTGGGTTCCAAACCCAGGCACTCTGGCTTTTGACTTTTCGCGCCTTTTTTTAAAGATTTTATTTATTTATTTATTTATTTGAGAGAGAGAGAGAGTGCTCAAGCGTGCAGGAGAAGGGGCAGAAGGGGAGGGGCAGAGGGAGAGGGACAAGCAGACTCCTCCCAGAGTGCGTAGCCTCGACACGGGGCTCGATCTCAGGACCCTGAGATCATGACCTGAGCCAAAACCCAGAGTCAGACGCCCAACCGACTGAGCCACCCAGGCGCCCCTTGACACTTTGCTCTTAAACATGATGCTAGTTAGATGTAGAAAGCAGCTGATAGGTGAAGATAAGGGTTCATTCATCCATGTACTTATTCATCTATTTAATAGATACATATTGAGCCTTTACAAGATGGCTGGGCAAGCCTCTGGGTGCTGGGATACAGTGGTGAGCAAAACAGACAGGTTCTTGCTATCAAAGAGTTTGAAGTTTGTTGGGGATTTGGAGGGTGGGCCTTAAAATAATAATCATGCAAGCATGTGGAAAATTACAAACCATGATGAGGGCACAGAAGGAGAGCTCCAGGGAGTTCTGAGAGCATATGATGAGGTACCTGACCCAGTCTGAAGGGGCTGGGAAGGTTTATCTGCTGAAGTAACATGTGAGCTGAGAGCTGAAGGATAAGGAGTTGATGGAACGAAAAAAGGGAAGGGAAGAGCATTTCATGCAGAGGGAAGAGCACAACCAAAGGTCCTGGAGCAGGAGAGAGTTTGATGCACATGAAGAACTGAAAAGGCTAGGGGTGGTGGGAGCAAAGCCTAGAACACTAGAGTTGGAAGGGGTTTTTGGGGTCCAGTCCAATGTCACAGGTGAGGGAACTGCCCCTGGGAAAGAAGGAAGTGACTGGTCCAAGGTCACACCCTGAATCAGTGGCAGAAACAGGACTCAACCTAGGTTCCTCGACCCCCAGTCCAGTGCTCTTTCCAGCACAGATCATGGCTTTCCTGCATATGAGGAAGAGGGAGGTAAACTGGGTGTCAGCAAAATACTGCTCACGGGGACTGAGAATGGAAGAGAGTGTTTTTGGAGATAGGTATAAATAACCAAATGAAATCTTCATGGGCAAGGAGCCCAAGAGTGAGTTTGGGGCAGAAAAAAGAAGTAATTTGCAAACAGGAAGAATTTAATTTGTGATTCCCAGATTCCTAATTGGGCTTTTCTCCCGCTATTTCTAGCAAGGGATCTAAAGTGGGTGGGAATCGGCGCGGGGGGTGGGGTTGTTGGAGAAGAGTACTGGGGCTGAGGTCTTCGTCCCCTCTTTTGAGGTGAGGGGAGGGTGCTCTCTGGCTCAGTGGCCCAGCTGTGTGTCATCTCCAGCTCCGCCAGCAGGGGGAGCCGGAAACCGAGCTTCCTAAGAATGGCGGCTGGCCTGGCCCCTGGGCTGGAGAAATTCTTAATGGAAGCTAGTCAAGTCAGTCCAGCATGCTGTGGAAATGACAGGAACCGAGAGGAAAGAGGGAGCCAAGAGTTAGGATTATCCGCAGGATCTTTGCATTAAATTGCAGTCTTTGGTAAGTGCCTTCTAAACCTGGGGTTTGAGCTGAAGCAGGCAGGCACCAAAGGGTAGGGAACCATTTGACAGGAAAGGGCTGCCACACGAACCAGGGCCTTCTACACTCCCCAAACCTCACAATTCTGTCGCTAGCCTCATCCTTTCTCCTGAGTCTCAGACCTAGATGGCCAGCTGGCTACAGGAACCTCTCTTCCCGGAAGCTCAAACTCAACGTGGCACTGAACTCATCTCCCACCCTCCCTGAGACCTGTTCCCTCAGCATCCCTCATTTCCGTGAACAGCACTGCCACCCCCCCCCCCCAGTCATTCAAGTCAGAAACTGGGAGGCATCTTTCCAATTCACTAATACGTCCTGTTGGCTCTACCTACAAAATATATCCCAAACTCAAAACACTTCCCTTCATCAACCCTGCCACCATTCTGGTCTATGCCATGGTCATCTTCACCTGGCTCACTGCAAAAGCTTCCTGACTTTCTTCCTGCTTTTACTTGTGCCCGCTCCCCACTGTTTCTGCATCCAGAAACCAGAGTGATCTTCCAAAGACACTGATCTGATCATGTCATGGCCCTGTCTAAACCCTCTGAAGCCTGCTCCTTGCCCTCCAAATCAAGTCCTGCCTCCTCACCATGGCATTCAAGGCCTTCCTGATCAGGCCCCTGACTGCTTCTCCTGCCTTATGACTCACTTCTCCATGGCCCCTACACACACACACACACACACACACCACTCTTCTCAAACTGAACCACTGCCCCTTAAATCTTGCCTCGCGTGCTGTTTCCTCTGCCTGGACTTTCTTCCCTTCCTTTTTGTCTCACTGTCTCCTATTCACTCCTTGGCTCTCAGCTC